CGGATAAACAGACGAATAAAAATAGAATAATACTGTCCACTTTATAAGCTGCGTATCGTCAGGTCTCAGCTGTAACGATGTAATGTCCAACGAAGAACGGAATGATAATGCGTAAATATCTTTACATACATGGTTCTGCCGAAGAATCTTCTTAATCTTGTCTTTTGTAAGAAAATGAGAGACTTGAATAACTATACGAAAGTTTTTGTGAAAAACAAGGGCTCAATACATTTAGTGCGGCTGTTAGAGGCCAACAGTAAAGTCGTAGAGCGAAAGGGCCCTTGAGCGGAGTATCGGGGCCGAGTGGGAACGCACCGGTGGGTCCCAATTTGCCCCAGCATTATCCAATTGCCGGAGTCAAGCGGTTGGCGTGGGCCAGCGCGTGACCTGAACACGTATTCTGGGTCCCTTTTTAAACGGTATCACATTGGGCCGTATATTTTAAAGTTCCGGTGTCCGCGTCAATCTGTTACATTTTAAAATTACGAGTATGTCGCACTGACGGGATGTGACCTCAGTGTTCAGTTTGTAACTTTAAAAAAGAATATTTAGATATTTTGAATTGTTTTTAAAGAAAAGATAAAATTTATCTTATTGTTACTTATGTTACCAAAATGTGCAAAGCTAACGCAATATATTTCTGCAACATTCTTTATTAGTTCATAATGAATCTTAATCAAACTATAATGGTTTAAGTATGAAAGAAAAATGTAACATCGTATAATAAAACTTTAGTCATATGGCACAATGTTTTGTTGGAAATGATTTCACGCATCTTTCACAGTGTGAGAAGATGATCCGGTGAATAGTTTACATCTAACGACATGAATTAACATATAATCAAAGTTTATCGAGGGTCAGTAACGAATGCTGGGAAATAACACATGTCGATGTTGGCCACTCTCTGGCGCCATATTACAGCCCAGTGATACCACTATCTATAATTAATTTAAATAAAAGCTGCAAATATGTATTTCTTATCTTACATTAGTCGTTGTTTTGACATCAGTGAATCTTTGCTGAGGGGTTAATTACTTTGTGGAAATCTGTAAAGTTAGTTGCTGGGGAAGTGTTATTTAGTAAAAAAAATTATCAGCCAGAGTTTTACTCGCTTTTCTTTGCAAAAATACATTGTCGTTTGGCCGTCACCGAACTCAATCTTAGTTGATATAGTGTTTACTTACATACTAAAATATTAAAAGCCATGATATGAAATTAAGAATTATTTAAGTACAATATTTTTAGATGAGTGGTTGTAGTAGGGCGAGCCCTCCGTCCGGCGCGCGCCCTCAATTGGACTTCCGAGGGCACTTCCGAAATCGCTCCGACAATTAACTAAAACGACAATTTTAATGAGTCGAAAGTTAGTTGACTATTGTTTTGTTATTATTAGGGCACGAGACAGGATGCTGCTTAATTACACTCTAATTTGCTTAGTCGTTGAAATAATCTAAATATTTCTTTATGATTGTATTAACCAGTAACGCGTGGCTACAATCTACGTCAACTCTTAATTAAACAAACATAAAACATAGTCTTCTCTGATGACGATCAATGTTTAGAATTAATTTAATAATACGTTAAAATATTATTATTTTATAATCTTGTTTTAAATTTATAGTTAGTTTAAGTTATAACTCCAAAATGTAAAGAAATGAGACAGAACTATTTGTAATCTAGCATATTTATGACTTGTAAATTGTTACATATTGTTGTCAATAGTTCGAATGTAAAACTTTTCATTACTGCTTGGAAGATGATATCAATGACTGATTGAAAATACATAAACGGAGTTTCACACAAATCATAAACGGGATGTGTCTGTCACGTCAGTCCAACAAATTGTAAGGGGGTTGTTATTTGGGCGTGGTGTTGAGACATGTTACTGTACAGACAGACAAACATAAGTTACTCTCCGACTCCGACAAAACATTATTTTCGTGGTTTCATACGTTCTGCTGATTTGATTGTTGTTTGTAGTGTTAAGAACAAAATTAGTACCGTGCTGTAGAGTTGGCGCAACTCTAGATTATCGGCATAAACGTCACCTTCCTAGCTGACAGCTGTCAATGTCACTAGAAGTATGGATAGATTGGCGCGCATCCTGAGTCCTGGCGTTAAGTTTTGCTCTGAGTTTAAAGGGACAGTATCAATTAAATAAGTTGTCTAAAAGTTGTTAGGTTGTTAATGTCATTCATATTTCTTATGATGTCTAGATCGATATAATGAGATATCTTTGCTCAATAACATTTCAGATGTGTACATCTGTTGTGATGTTTTCATGTACAAAAAATCACCGTGATTTGTTATGTAAAACATTTAGTTTATCTTTAATACTCTAATTGAGTAAACTTAGACGCAATCATTTGACCCAAAAGTTAGAGATAAACATCACGTAAATTACACACTGCTATAAATATGACAATATTGTTTATTATTGTCGTATGCGATGTTAGCGGCTGATAACCTAAATATTTTTACACTAAATTCTATTGAAAACAAAGTTACAACTTCGAAGCTCGGCTTTACGTAGATTAAGATAAATGTGTCGTTAGCAACTCTCACAGATTTAAATCCTTAAATGTTTGCTTTGAAGATTACTTTTATTTTAGAAAAGTCCATCGTCACAATGGAGTTCCTTTTATTTTAAAGACTCAATTATTTGATGTTTCCACGCTCACTAGGCTTCATCAAAAAACATTAAAATTAAACCGCAAATATGCAACATCTAAATCTAAAGACTAATTTAAACCCCAAGAAATGTTAGGTGTAATAGAAAGTACTAAAAAAGAATTATTGCATTATTGAAAGCCATGCATCGACAATGCCGCCGACTTGCCCTAATTAGTTATAACGCCCAAGTGCGGGTATATGCGGTCTAACAATTGTGCCGAAACAAACGCTGGTCCTAAAGCGCTTGCCCGCGTCTGTTGCCACATTTTAATTGTTCCGCGTACACTGATGACTCAATTAGCCCCCGACTTCTCTCAATGAAACTGCGCCTCGCTCCGTGAATTAGCAATAATTTGGATTTAGCGCACTTCGGATTATTACTAAGTACTTCGATTGTATTCTAACTCCAATTAAGGTAAACCTTCTTTAACCCTTGCGTACAGAGTATCGTATGCATCATAAAAGGACTATATTTTCCACCAGATTCTTAAATAGTTGTTGGGCAACCTTGCGGGGCGCTGGTCAGAAAGGGGCGCACGCAACAGGTCAGCAAATGGTATTTTTAACATATGTCTGTTATCGACCCATCAAATGATGGTTGCAAGACAGCGCCTTATAAATTTCACCGACACCACCTATATTGCTAATGCGTTTTAACCATATTTTAAAAGACGACACATTTTAAATATCGAAGAATAATAACGCATCGATATAAATGTATATCATTCAAGAAACTCATTGATAGAAGTACAATAATAATTATATAATTATAATAATGAATTCAAATGCGCATTAATATGCTGAAATATGTAATAAACATCGTCCAACAGCGTTGATAACTTCATTAACGAAGAGAAGAACGCCCACCGCGTTTCTAATTTAATTTATGGCATCTATTTAAGTGTTGCATGATAATATCTTGTTTGTTATTTAGGGTGATTTTATTATGACCGTTGCAAGGATAATATGGGTATGGGTCATGTAGCAATAAAATTGAATTCAGTTGCCTATTGATGCGACAAACAAATAATCTTAAGTCCTTCAAAATTATCTTTAAAATGTCTTATGGATTTAAGTAATGTAGAATACATTCCTTTGAGATTTTCATGATCCTGATTACATTTAAGGGTTCCACTAAAATGTTTGTACAAACCAATTTTATTGTTTAAGTAAACTTATTTTCTTACTGAAATTATTTCCACTATCTAGGGTTGTTAACGTCTTGTGTCAGTGATATAATCAAGTTCACTTGTTATAAGGGCACTTAGTAGTCACCTGTGTCATCCGGCGCCTGGCCACCATCCGTAAAGGCCGTCATCCAAGCGAGGAATTCCGTTACAACTAACGTCATTATGCGTAAACGTACACTTTCTTTTTAACCGAATTCTAAAAGGAAGACTCCTTAATTCATCTTTTTTCTTATATGAAACCTGAGATTTCAAAGGTCAGAAATTCAGTGTAAGTAATGCAGTTCTCAGTTGCAACCGTATTATTGTAGATTTCTCTCTATCTTGACACTAGCTGTTCCCGTGCGGCTTCATCCGCATGAAATTATGAAATATTTTATTGTTTACATTTGTCAAATTATCAGTAGCAAATGTCAAAATGACATGACATGACATGACATGACAAACCTTAGCAATCTTTCTTTCTTGATGTTGGCAGCAACTTATGGTCTCTTTCCCACATTAGGGTTTTTATTCAAAATATTTACCTTCTAAGTTAAATGGCGTGAAAATATATAGCCTAAAGCATGACGTAAGTGTAGTGCTTATTTTAAAAAAATGCTTTTATTAGAAAAAATAATTATTAAAAAACATGCTGTGATTGCTGACATCTTAGGCAACAAAGAAGTATGTGTTTACGCTTTATTATGTATAGATATCACGATTTTCGGCTCTAACATCCAATCCTTCAGACTTAAATGTATGTTTCTTACTACCATGGGTATACTTGGAATACAAAAAAATGTAAACACTGAAATGAACCAGAAGTTAAAATACAGTAATCCACTTGAGACGCATGCCACGCATGTGAATGTTTAGGGCTGTCTTCAAGAGCAACACGTGTGCGACGTAAACACGCCAAACTATCGCAAACGATTTACAAAACCATAAAACAAACGTAAGCAACGTGCACAGATATGTTGACCCACTTTACATCTGAGAAAACCATAGTTATCTGCAGTCCCAATGGTTTCTATATGTTATTGATAAATTGTTACCTGCGTCGATTGTGCAATGTTTTACTAGTACAGAGTTGTTTTATCTGTGGTTTTACGAAAAATATCCTTTGGTTTTCCGTTACATTGTTTCTTTTCTTTCCAGTGTCGATTGGGATGCAGCTTATGGCAATTGGGCTTAAAAAACTCCTGCCAGAATGTTTGTGTAAGTTTCAAAGATCTGTATGATTTAAATTTCGACTTTGTTCATGGTCAAGATTTGTACGATTATTTTTCTAATTTACAGAACGTGACATCGGAAACAGTATTTTCTAGGGAATTATACTGCGTGATGGGTTGCAATGAGGCTCTTAATACTTACTTACAAAAGTTAAGAGGTTAGTTTTTTTTTTACATTTCTAGATACACGCTTAATCTAAATTTATTCTAATTATTTTTTTTATCTTACTTGTTAAAACTAATAAATGACAGTTAATTTAATTGTTTCTCACTAAAAATTAATAATTTTGTAAGGGAAGTCCTTGGCTTCTTAAAAACAAGAATCCTAGTTAAGTCGCTAAGGCAACACTGATTGATGTAGTTATCCTTAGTGTGCAATAAGGATATTTTTATTCTTATTCTATTTCAAAATTTCAGCGTTATTAACAAAACAAGTTTTATAAATAAGAACTGAACATTACTATTAAACTTTTATTAAGGATACTAATGTTTTCTTTAATAGTGTGATGTTTATATTTTGTAGAACTAATCGGCATACCGAGTGCGCCTGCGTTGGTAGCAGACAGCCTAACTGCCCGCTCGCTGTCGCTGGTGTGGGAGGCTCCAGGTGTGGCCAACTTGAGCCACCTGCTGCAATGGCGCTACGAGGAGTTGTCCGGCACATGGCAGTTCTACTCCAACGCGAGTCACGCCGACCGCTCAATCATACATGTTGATAATCTGCGGCCGTACACTAAATACAGAGTAAGTTTGACTCCAATCTAAGACATATGGAAAATCATACTTCATACTGATATTTAAAAAAATGCGAAAGTTTAGATGGATGGGTGTTTGCTAGAGTTTGTAGCCTAAACGATCCAACGGATTTCGATGAAATTTTGTATAGATGTAGAGGATAGTCTGGAAGAACGCATAAGTTACTCGTTTTGTTTTTTTTAATTCGACGCGAACGGAGTCGCGGGCGAAAGCTAGTATAATTATAAAAAATCTGTGATTATTGATGAGTACATTAAAATGTTTGTAGATACAAGTATTCTGCTTCTATTTTACCCAAATCAAAGAAATAAAGACGTTTAAAATGGAGAAGAAATAAAGACGTATAAAACGAGTAAAAGGATTTTGAAAGTGACAGTTTACTGGATTTATATTCTCCAGAGTTTTGTAGGGATACGATTTGGGCTATTTAAACTTTCATTGTGTATTTTAGTCCAATTTACTATTTATTAATAGTTCTGATAAAAAAGCGTTAATAACATAACTTGTTTAGTTTCGTGTGGCGATCTTCCTGTCTGGTCGTGTGAGTAGCGGCGAGCCGGTGTACTCCGCGCCCTCAGTGGTCATATCTACGCTGGAGAGCGGCAAGCCGGGCTCGCCGCCCGCCGCCCTGCGCGCCGCCGCGCCCGACCCCAGCCGCGTCGCCATCTCCTGGCAGCCCGGCCCCTTCCCCAACGGACCTCTCATCTCGTACGTGCTGCGACTTGCCGACACACAGCCCAACACCAATGACGCTCTGGAGGTATATATTCACCATTTGGTTTCATCAGTAGACAGTGACTGCACAACTTACTCCCTGGATAATGCAGTATTTTTACAAAGGACGTGTTCAGTATGTTCCTACTTGTTCCAGGACATGCCAGCTTCGAACAAGACATTGTTCTACATGTTCCAAAACCTGGCGCCGGCGCGCGAGTACGAGGTGTCCGTGGCAATGCGCAATGCGGTCGGCGAGGGACCTCGCGCTTATGTCAGAATTTCGACACCTCCTTTACCTAAATGTAAGACATAGATTAACTAATATAGCTGAGTATATTTTAAATACCTTTTATGTTACTTCGAATCATTGTTTAAATCTGTGTTTCTCAAAGTGGGCGATAACGCGAAACTTAGAGAGGGGAGTTATAGGGCCCCAGAAAAAATAGGGGGAGTTGATGTGGGTTAGGAGGGCGATACATAATTTGTAATTTCATTTATTTTATATAGTATTTTAAATTTCACTTAAATTGTATAAATAGCGCTGAAGAATCATTAATTTTTAAAGGGGGCGGTAAAAGAAATAAGTTTGATATACTTTGGTTTAAATGAATTAGTTATGAACTTACTAATATTGTTTTCGCTAAATTATTTAATTACACTTTCAGCTGTTCCCAGTCAACAGCCGATTCTTATACTAGGCGGGGAACGTAACATTTTAGCTGCGCCCGCAAACGACATACTCGCAGATCCCATTGAACTGTACACAACCAATGAAACTATTACTGGTATGTTAAACTAATAATTCAAATGTATATTAGTTAACTAATGAGATTGTCTTTATTACAATGTATGTATATTACAGGTGTTGGGTTGGATATTTCCAGCGACTGTCTATTTGTTTCTGTATCCAGTGGTTTCGTGTATCGCAATTCTTTATCGAAGAGAAGCACCTCCCACGCTATAGTTACCCCGAAGAATACGTACAAACCTCTAGATCTGTCCGTAGATTGGTTAAATGGACATTTATATATCCTTGGCGAAGTCCATTACGCAAGAGATGGCAGTTTATCCAACACGTCGCTGTATTCCAGTTGGGAAATAATACGATGTGATTTTGAAGGGAAAAATCAGATAGTAGCATTGTCAGGGTTTAACTCGAGACCGATTCATTTTGAAGTGGACGCTTATAATGGGTAAGCAATAATTTTCAGTTGCTATCGAATTCGGATTGTCGACGTGAAAGATAAATTAAATAGTGTATCCAAAATTGATGATACAGATTTCATGAATTCTTTGCTATGTATGTATTACCAAAAACTTATCAATTCATTTATTATTAGTTACTATTTGAGCATTTTCTGAAATATTTAGGTATTTGTTCTGGGCGCTGCGTGGGGTGGAACACGGGGGTTTGTACCGCTTGGACCTAGCCAACATTTCTAACGGCGTGCCGCACAACGCCACTCTCAAGTGCATAGTCAAGGACGCGCACCTCGGGGCCTTCACTGTCGACCACGCAGACTTCAGGCTACTCGTGGCACACCTCAGGCGGAACACAGTGCTGGCTGTGTCTTTGGATGGGTTCGTGATTTTGTTTTTTATAAGCTATAAAATAGAGTCTACACCTATTTTCGATTGTGATTGAGTGATTTTTGTTATCTGTAAATAGAATGTTAATATGAAATTGTTTGTTCCAGGCGAGCCGTGTCAGACTTCAGGCCTAACACGCAGACGCCGATGTTCTCATCTGTGAGATCGATAGCATACGCCGG